AAGATTATTAATTATCTTATTAAGCATGATTACAAGTACCAAATTCCCTTTAAACATGCATAAAAGGTGTGATCAAGCAATAACTATACTAAGCATCAAGCAACATAATCATAAATTATAATCATAATCAAAATAACAATCATAATTAAAATAATCATGTTAAAAATAAAGCATAATATTAATAGCAAGATACTAAGCATGATACTAAAAAGATTAATAATAAACCCTAGCATGTCACTAAACATAAAAGATCAAAGCTTTAGCCCTAACATGATACTAACATGATATTAGAAAAGACAATAAAAGGCATCATAGAAATCATAATAAGCATATTTGATATTATAATCTTTACCCTAGACATGATACTAGGAATAATTGTTGTTATTCAAAACATCAAACATCCTAACATGATACTAGGAATCAAAATAGGAACCTAGACATGATTTCTATATAATTTCAATGAAACAATTAAAGTACTTACTTGGATGTCTTGTATCTCTTTCTAATAACAAAATATACACGTTAGTAACTTCAAGGAAAATAATAATCAAAACAATTAAATTAAATAATTGAAATAGAGATTTATGACCAAACCCTCAGAAATTAAAACCTTTCACGTCTAGGGCGAAGACAATTTCGAACAATGCTAGGTGTGTCTAGATCTTGTGAATGCGGAATTGTGTTTGTAAAAAGCTAGTTTAGAAAATAGAGACAGAGAATATCAAGAATTACTTGATGAGAGTTGGCAGAGAAGAATTCCTAAGAATTGATGAGAATTGATGATTCAAAACGGAGGTTTTAGGAGGCTATTTATAGAGAAAATCAGCCGGATATGATAAAAAACAAATCAGAGTTTCGAAAAGAATAAAACACGACTGCAGCGCCAAACACGCGCCTGTCGCCAGGCGACAGAGCTGTCGTATGACACTAGAAATAATTTTCCACACGTTTTCTTATTTTAATAAAATTTAAGCTATGAGAGGGCAAAACTATATTTTCCTTAAAAACACTTCTTTTATTCTAATTAAAACTTATAAAAAGTCAATTAAAGTCAATTTATCAATGCTAATTAAATTAAGATTCTAGAATTTTATAATCAATCCTAATTGCATTAGGAATGATAAATCAATAATAGGCCCTCCTCTAGATCATTGGGCCACATATAAATATCAAACCGGACCCAGTTTAGTAATTTGGTCATAACTTCCTCATTATTCATCGGAATTGGGCTTATAATATATCGTTGGAAAGCTCTTTTCGAACCTCATCCAACTACACCATTATTGGACCCTTTCCATGGACCAAAACAAACTGAATTGGCTGTTTTCTTAAAATAGGTTTTCAAAAACAGAGAGAAAGAGAAGAAATAAAAACTAACCGAAACACTAGACTTTCCACACTTTCACTTCATTCGATTATGATTCGACGCGAAAGCTAAATATATCAAATGGAGAAAAGTAGCCTAGGGCGCTCACAATACTAGGATAAAATCAAATGGAATTCTAGGATAAATTAGAATGAGGGGAAAATTTGAAATGTCAATATGATAATGGAATGCTAGCCATAGCTACACTAGCCTTCGGAGCTGTTAGGTACACTAGTCTCCCTTGGACAAAAAGAAATGAGGTAAGAATTTGTTGTGTAATATAATACATTAGTAACTTGAAGCAACTAGAAGCGTGCAATCTAATGTGATAATTGAGTAAATTGAATGATTTTAAGTGGACTTATTCTTGCGATGTACTGTTCTTCTAAATAAAATGGGGATGTCATGGACGTTCTTTGTCTCCTGCTTCTAAATAAATATATGTTTTTTTAGTGTAAACATTTCTTAGCTGGATCATCGTTGAGTTTTGTTGCTATGTTTTGTAAAGTGCCCCTTGGTTGTCCATTTCTTCCTATAAGCTGCTTGATCTTGCTGTTATACCTACAACAATCTCACCCTTTTATTTTCTCATATCTTGGACGTTGGCTTCAAAATCCTTGCATCCATACATTCTGTCACGTGATTTTTCTAAAAGACTACGTAGTTCCTGCAACTGTTAAAAGTAAACTGTTGGTCTGCATATTCTAATGAAGAATATACTTGAAAAGTTAGATATATAGTAGAGCCAAAGATACCTGTTCTAACAAGGACTCTCTTTCTTTTTTGATGCCTTCTAGCTGAACTTTTAGATTATGAATTGAATATGTTTTAGAGTCTTGCATAAGAGTACATGTTTGGGGATATATAGTCAGCCATGTAAAAAAGTAATATTATTATCACTTTCATGCTAATATAAGCTTTATAATGATGGCTTATCTAAAGCCAATGAAGCCAGTTATCGTAGGAAGCTTTCTCACTCATTTGTGGAGTTACGGGAGTATATAATATATAGGTACAAATCTATATAATCTTCTTGCAACTACAATAAAAAAAAACCACAGATGTTATCACATATAATGTTATTAAATTAGTATTAATACATAATATCATCTTTTTGTTATTTTTACTTAATATTACTTATGTATATTTTTATGTATTAGTGGTCAACCTTAATCTTATGGTTGGAATGTGTGAGGTTAATTGATCTTTATATTTTGGTTTTGTTTATATTAGTATGTTTGTTGAGGTTCTTGTTTCAGATCCTTTTAGATTATATAATGTGATCCATTGTTTGGCAAGTGGTCTAGTTAGTCCTTGGTGTTTACTTGATCTTAACATTTCTACTCGTGTATGGCAGGTTGCCGAATATTACTACAGGCCTGACTTGAAGCAAGCTGCCCTCGGAAGGTTGAGCATTGTGAACAGAAGCCTTCAAGTTGCCAAGTTTGGTGTTAAGAAGAGGAACAAGCAGCCACCTAAGCTCTGTGGCAGGAAGTGAATTAGGTGTTAAAATTTTGTCATACTTTTGAGTAGTAGTTTCGCACGACTCTTGGACTCAAATCTCCTATTTTGAGAAATAGACTTGGTTTCAAAAAAAAATTGTTGTTTCTTGGTTTTTTTTTTTTTTTTTTTTTTTTTTTAATATTCTTATGTTCAAATGTACTTGTTAAAAATTGTGAAATAAATAAAAATTTACATTGAATAATGAAGTACAAAATGGTGACAGCCTGGCAAATTATGTTCGGATTTTTTTTATAATTTGGGCTAAATGTATTTGTAACGGGCAGTTGAAATGCCTGTGACAAATAACCAAGTTATTGGTAACGGGCGTCTGACATTTCAGTGACAAATAATGGGTTTTTTGTAACGGGCAATTGATATGTCCGTTACAAATAACCCGTTATTTGTAACGCGCATTTTACCTTCCTGTTACAAATAACAGGTTATTTATGAAGGGCATTTCACCTACCCGTTACAAAAAAGTACTTATTTGTAACGGGAAGTGCTCGTTACAAATAATATTGTCCATTCGTAACGGTCGCTGCCCGTTACGGATGGGCTGTTTTTGCTCGTTACGGATAGCTATTATTTTTCCACTAGTGTCTTCTGCGTTAAAGCCCCATAAGTCTTCATCGTTATCATCGTGCTCTACGTTTATGAGAGGTTTATCAATTGCCATGATTCTTAATTAGGAGGCATCAATTGTAACGATGATAGTCTTCACTTGTTGGTGAAGTGATGAAGGGACGGCCTTAAGAACATGAAGCCAAGGGCGTCCCAACAATAAGTTGAAAGAAGCCTTGATATCAACCACTTGAAAGGTTGTAGCGTGTTCTATCACTCCTGCTGTGACATTCATAATAATAGTCCTAAGAGCTTGGCGACGAGTATTGTCATAAGCTCTTATTCCTTGTGTGGATGCAGACAGGTCTTCATCCCTTATCCCCAACATCTTCGCAGTTCGTAGTCGGCAAACATTAATTGCTGACCCATTATCTATAAGAGTCATTGGGACATTCATTCTTTTGCAGACTACTGTGAGGTTTAAGGCCTTATTGTGTCTTTCACCTTCTAGAGGTAAGTCCTTGTCAGAAAAGGTGATTAGATTAATGGGACTTGGAAGATCACTCGTGAGAAAATTAATTATTCCCTCAGGAGTGGTTTCTAAATCTATCCCTACTGTAGCCAAAGCATCCATTACTGTGATTCTGTGTTAACGAGATGTGGCTAGTAGTTTCCATACGTTCATTTTAACCTTATTCTTTTTTAGTTGTTTGACAACATTGTTGTCTTCTATGATTGGTATGGAAACTTGTTGAGTAGTAGGAATAGGCTGTGTAGTGATGGGAGGTTTGCACTCTCCCTGATCTTGTAAGAACATCTATGGGTGAATCTCCTTCATCCCAAATTTCATCTACTGGGTATATTGTGGAAAGTGGGGTTTCCTCCATATATTTGAGTTAGACATCCTCATCATCACTCTCCCAGACTCTGTTGATGCTAACATTTCTTTCTGGTGGGATTTGGACCAACTTCTTACGGTCAATCAATCTTTGGATTAAATCTTTGAATTTAAAACATTGTTCTATGGTATATGACAATAGAATTCATATTCCTTTTCAATGATTCAAATGGTCTTGGTCCGTGAGGTTTGATCTTCCCACTCTCAAAGAGTATTTTAAACATGTTTGCATAAGAAGTCCTAATTAGAGTGTAAGACTTGTCACTCCTTTTGGGTGCTTTGACTACTTGGAGAGAAAATGGTTTTCTCTTAGTAGCCTGTGTAGGTGTGAGGATCCATACTTCCTCTTTTATGGAAAGTCGTTGACTTTTAGGAAGATCCACTACTACAAAAATGGGCAAAGAAACCCATTGAAATATGCTTGAGAGATCACTTTTGGAAGGGTCTCTATCTCAAGAGTCTCTTTGATTAAAAAACCCTTTTTTTATGAGGGGTATGTTTGTGTGGACAAAGAGACCCGTTATCAGTGACAATGGGTCTATCATTTACGCGATAAGATTAATAGTTTCGAAGAGAAAGAGACCCGTTGTTTGATATAAGGGGTATGTTTAGGTGTATAAAATAGACCTGTCAGGTCAAATAACGGGTCTATTTGTTCTTTATATTTTGAAATTTTTTTTTTTTTTTTTTTTTTTTTTTTTTGCGTTTTGCATTTTAATTAATTTTGTTTTTATGTTCTATACAAATTGGCAGAATTGAGGAGCTAAATTATAAATTGGTATTAGTAATTTGTACACTTAATTTGTATGTAACATGCAAGTTACACTTCAAATTGATGAGAGGAAAAAAATAAAATTCAACGAACATAAAATCCCGTGAAAAAAATTGTTTGAATTTATTGAAATTTACAATTACAATTATAATTACATTAATTAGACTTGTGTACTCCATTTGCTACCTTCTTTGTTTGAAGGTAACAACATCAAACAGATCTGAAAAAACAAAATTAATATAATGAATTTTATAATTGAGAATTCCATATAAACAAATTAGAAATAAAAATGACAGACAAAACTAGGCTTACGTCAATAGATCTTCGGTGAGCAAATTGGATTGCTTGAATGCCCTTTCCTTATAAATGAGCAGATCTGTAGAATACCCTGTTCAAGTAGAAAAAGAAATGAAATACTCGTGAATAATGTAACTAAAATCCCAAAAAACAATTATAATAGAATAACCCCAAATTTTACATTTTAATAAATCAAAAAATATTTCAATATTTTAATTTGATAGGGAATATTCATAATGTTTTCATAATCTAAAGGTTTGAACATATCAATACCACCTTTGACATCAATTGTGTTGTCTAATAACCTCACAAAACGTTCAATTTCCACACTTTGTATATCATTAGTGTAGTAAGGTTCTACTGATACCGAAAATACTTCAATCATACAACCCGTTTACATAATTAACAAAAGCAAATTAAGCAAGAAACCAAGAAGAAAAAAAAGTTGAGCAAATTAACTAGAAAAAATTGTTTTCAATTACTCAATTTACTCAGCTACTAAATCAGCCACAACTTCATAATCAAAGCACATAACCTTACATAAAATCAACAGCAAACTAAAACCCTAGAAAATTCAAAATTCCACACAAACAGAAAAATTAATTGAAACTCGTAGAATTATAAACTCGTAAAATTCCATACAAAGCTTCGAAAGTCGACATGGTTGGGCGCTGCTGCGGTTCCGAAGGAGAAGTGTGAAGCGTGGTGCGATTATTTAAGCTTTAATTGGTGGTGATGAAATAAACAAGGAGGCGTTGAGGAGGAGATGGAAGCAGCATTTTTTGCTCCAAGAGAAAAAAAATATATGAGAGGAGAGTGAATGAGAATAGGAAAGCGACGTGAAGGAGGTAAATTGAAATGGGGAATATGAAGAGAAAGAAGTAGGGTTTTGTTATCAATCCTTTAAGTGATGGGCCCTTACACATATATGAGACCTGTTAAGTCAATTACAGGTCTCTTATTTTTTTTCCTCCATTTTTTTATGGGCCCTATGATACATAAGAGACCCATTATCTCTAATATCAGATTTATTATATTAAAGAGAGCCGTTGAATTAATCAACGGCTCTTTTATTATAGGTTCCTTTGCCATTATTGTAGTAGTGATCACTCATGGCATCGAAAATAGTTTCCTCCTCTTCCTCGATAACACGAGCTTCTTTGACTGGTTTAATGAGGGATGATGGGTCAATATCACTTTCCTCATCGAAAATAGCCAAAGAATCTGAAAGTGGGGCGCTATTGATACTTGGCTTCTTGCTTGCGGGAGGCAATGAGAGTTTGTTGCTATCAATAAGATCTTGAATTGCTTCCTTTAGCTTCCAACAGTTTTCAGTAAGATGACACCTACCTTGATGGTATTTATAATGTGCATTGGGGTTCCAAATAGCCATCCTCCTTTCGACTGGTAGATCTCCAAATGGTCCAATGGGAGTTATAAGACCTTTCGCATGAAGGCGATCAATGCGGTGTCATAACTCATGCCAATAGGAGTTAAATTCTTCCTAAATGGCTTTTTTTGTCCTTGATTATTCATAGCAAGGACTTCATTCAGATTAAAGGTACTAACATTGTTTAAGTGGGTGGTTTTGGAAGAAGAAGGATTGTTGTTCTTCTTTCCTTTCCAGCCACTATTAGAGTTGTTAGCAGCTTTTAGCTTTGTAAGGTCGTCCTTGATGTTGATTCCTATGTCATAAAAGGCCTTGAAAGTATTCAGATTGCTTTAATATTTGGGATGCTTAGAATATTTTTTTTTGAGGTTCTTAATGAACATCCTTACAGATTCTTTTTCATTAGGTAGCTCAAGCATTTTAGCAGAAGTTTCCCTCCACTTGTTAAAGAAGGAGGTGAACCCTTCGTTCTCTTTTTGTTTTAACATTTCAAGTTCTCTATGGTCAGTTTCAACTTGAATGTTACATTTATATCTATCAATGAAAGCGTTTACTATCCCAAATAAAGTAGCTCTTTTCTTTGTCAAGGGAAAAGAGTGTTGGCAAACGGTTTCAAGAGATAAAGAGAACAAAGAGTGAAAGACTTTCCTATCCCCTTAATAATCATTATGGTTTCAAAAGTTCTTAAGTGGAAGTAAGGATTGTCAGTAGGTTTGAACCTAGGGATGTCATTGGCATTGAACTTCTGGGGAAGAAGCTCCTTGTCCATTAAGACCCCTTGTGAGCTAATGCCTTGGAACTTGTAGTCATTGGAGAGATTGTTCAAGCTTTCCTCCATTCATTGCATCTGTTGCTGTCTTGCAGGGTCATTGACTTGAAGAGCTATAGTCTTCATCATTTCATTTACATTAGCCAAGTCTTGCCCAAGTTCATTGATTTCTTCTTCAGTTGCCCTTATCCTCTTAGCTTTTCTCTTTTGACGGATCGGTTTATCAAAAAGGGAGATTTGGACAAAAGCATTGTCCTTGATTAGCTGACCTTCTCTTCTTGACCAAGTACTATAAATTAAACCATTTGTTTTAATGAATTGACTCCAATTGACTTTGATTTTATTGATTTTTTTTTTCTAAAAAAAAGGCAAAAATAGGGTGCATATATTTGGGAATCAAGTATAAGGTTTAAACAAGTATGGTTTAATTGGAGGATTAATATCCGTCTTCCCCCCCCCCCCCCTAAAAAAATGACTGAAAACACGCGCACATTAGACTCTCTAGACATAGTCAAGGTGAAACATACATAGAGTGTGTGCTTTTAATAGTGAGTGAAAGTGGCATGCTTTGACACTTGTGTGAGACCATGGGACTATGTGCTTAGACTCAATTAAGGGCTAAATATATATTCTGTCATTTAAAATAATTGATTAATTAGACTCAATGTGAGGACTCGAGCAAAAAACTGGACTGTTCCCGAAGCAACAGGACTGTCGCTATAGGCTAAGACCCAACGCGATGCGACTGTGTTGCATAACGCTGGACACTAGCGTGTCGCGCCACAGTCCAAACTCCTAGGCCATTACTGGAGCAGTAGTGTGGTCTGTTTTCGATGTTTTACTCTAAAAGGACAAGCTTATAGTCGTACTAATTAAGTCAAGTTTGATCAATTTCTTTAGACACATATTATTTAATTAAGCAAAGTCCTTTAGTCATTAATTAGTTTATTTAGACTCATTCACAAGTCAAACAAACGATTAGTGTAAGCACACATAGGTTATGCACAAGTAAAGAATGCACAAGTAGTCAAGTAAGCACAATATGATGCAATGAGTGTGCAACCTAACTATGGCTCTAGTTCTCTAAAGTTCAAGGATAATGGTTAGTCAAAAAGGGTCCGTGGTTATGAGTCCGAATGCACCCCGTGGAATCCTTACCTTTAGAAGGGTTGGCGCGAGTGGATGGGACCCCACGAGATAAACTCGCTTCCACGGTTTGGTGAATTCAACAAACTTGGATGTACCCGTCGTTGCCATGAGCGTTCGATTGGGTAGATGGAGAGTGAATTCCCAGAGGGATTTGGCCATATGTAGAACACATATGGGTTCAAGAAAGTGAGAAAAACTTAATCAGGAAGTAGAACCGAGCGAACAATACTAGAATCGGTCGAAACAAAGAAGGCAGATTTCTGGCTCGGTATTGGAAAAACATGGTGCGAGACAACAAGGCCAGTTTCCAGAAGATAGATCTGCCACCAAACGACATTAATGTCGCGCATGAAGCCAATTTGGACAACGCATCCGCCTGGTTGTTATCTGACCTGGGCACTTGACTCAAACGGAATTCCTCAAGTGCCCCGACCTCTTCTTTGACTGCCTGAAGGTACTTGTTCATAGCCGGATGAGTTGCCTCATATTTTCCCTCATACTAGCTTACGACCATCTGTGAATCTGAGTAGCCGTCAATTTTGGTTGCCCCTGCTGCCTTACACATGCGAATTCCGGCTAGCAGGGCTTCATATTCCGCCTCGTTATTTGAGGCTTGAAACTCAAACCGCAGTGCATATTCAAATATGTCCCCCTTAGGGGACTCGTATATAATTCCTGTACTGCAGCCGTTCTTTGTCGAGCTCCCGTTTACATACACTTTCCAAACCTGATCACTGTTATCCGGCTGAATCGGTCGTGTCATTTTAACAATAAAGTCGGAAAATGCCTGACCTTTCACTACCTTTCTAGGTTCAAAAGTGATTTCAAGACTTTGCATTTCAATAACCCATTTCAGCATTTTGCCGGATGATTCCAAGGTAGATATTGGCCGCTTGAGGGGCTGATCGGTGTAAATTACCACCGAATGGGCTAGAAAATACGGCTTCAATTTCTTGAAGGCCATGCATAGGGCAAGGCCAAATTTTTCAACCATAAGATACCGGAGCTCGGCATTTTTTAGAACATGGCTAATGAAATAGACCGGGAGCTGAATGTCGTCTCTCTTAGCAAGGAGAACAGCACTGAGAGCATGATCTGAGATGGCTAGGTACATATATAACGACTCTTTGGGCAGAGGGATAACAAGCCTTGGCAAAGAGTGCAGGTGCTCTTTCAGCTTTTGAAAGGCCACCTCAGCATCATCCCTCCATTCAAATCTGGTCTTCTTCCTAATTGCTTGGAAGAAGTAAAGGCATTTGTCACCTGACCGGCTGAGGAACCTCCCTAGAGCCGCCAGGCAACCGGTTAATCTTTGTGCTTCCTTGACTGTGCAGGGTGACTTCATGTCAATTACCGCCTGTATCTTCTCGGGGTTAGCCTCTATCCCCCTTTGATCAATCAAGAATCCGAGAAACTTCCCAGACTCAACACCAAAGACGCATTTATTAGGATTTAACATAACCTTATGCCGCCTGAGTGTGGTGAAGGTTTCTCGGAGATCAGCAAGGTGATCCGCCTGCTGCTTGGATTTGACTATCATGTCATCAATGTACGCCTCCACATTCCTCCAAATTTGATTAATGAAGACCGTATTAATCATCCGTTGGAATGTAGCTGGTGCATTTTTCAAGCCAAACGGCATCACAGTGTAAGAGAAAAATCCATGATCAGTGACGAAGGCCGTCTTCTCTGGATCTTTTTTCCATAGGGGTATCTGATGGAAGCCGGAGTAGGCATCCATGAAACTCATCAAGGCATGCTCTGCTGTCGAATCGACCAAAATGTCGATCTATGGAAGTGGGTAACTTTCCTTAGGATATACCTTGTTGAGGTCTGTGTAATCAACACACATACGCCAAGTACTATTCGGCTTCTTTACAAGCACAATATTCGCCACCCAGTCAGGAAAATTACATGGCCGAATGAACCCAGCGTCCAATAGCTTTTTTACTGTGGCAGCTGCCGCATGACTTCTCTCCTCACCGTGTATTCTTTTCTTTTGCCTAATGGGCTTCTTTTTAGGATCTATGGCGAGTTTGTGGACAGCAAGATCCGGGCTAACCCCTTGCATATCCTCCACTTCAAAGGAAAAAATGTCTTTGAATTCTTTCAGCAGGAGGTGCAGATCTGCACCCAATTTAGCATGAGCAGCCATCCCAACCTTAACAGTATGCTCCGGATGGCTGTCGCCAAGAGGTATATCAATATGGTCTCCAGCCGGTTGGGGACGGAGCTCCGCTGACCGCTCCCCGGTCAGTGATTGTTATTTTTTCTCTTTCTTCACCTCCACCAGCAGCGGTGCCTTTCTTTTCTTTCCGGCTGCTAATGGGGCTAGGGCTGGGTCGGCATCCTTGACACTGCAAGGTCTATTTGTTCTGGGCCTTGATCGCCTAGGGTCACAGTATCTTTGACGGCTGAGAGGTAGCACTCCCGGGCCGTCTTTTGATCCCCATTCAAGGAACCAACAGAGCCGTCATCCCTCTCATACTTGATGAGCATGAGAGAAGGGATGATTACAGCCTTGGCTTCGTTGAGGGTTGGCCGACCTAGAATAATGTTATAGGCGGTCATCTCCTCAATGACCAAGAACTTGACGACCAGGTGTCGTCCTTTTCCTTTTTCACCCAGCCGGATTGGTAAATCAACCCTTCCGACTGGGTAAACCATTCCACCCCCAAAGCCAATCAGGAGGTGTGTTACCGGATA